GGGGGGATTTCAAAAAGGAGAACGTATTATTAAATAAAATGCAAACCCCTGAAAACGATTATTTTAAGGTATTTTAGTTACCCTTTGATAGTTTGAATTTTTAAATGCCGGATAAAGAATTCTTGCAGAACAAATTATATTTATGTGTTATGATGTAATATTTTTAGTCAAAATTCCGAAGCTATATTTAGAGTCTTAAAAAAAACTTATAACACAAGATTTGAAATATAACACAAGATTTGAAAGTTTCCTATTTTATTAAAACCAAGGGTGATAAAAAATGTGGAATATATTTTCAATAGAAACCTTACTTTTAACATGGAATTTTAATTTTAAATTCTTTTTTATTTAGATTTTTTTATCCACAATTTTACATTAAAGTATTTTAATTTTGACTGGGTTTTATGATTTAATTAGGCATGGTATATTGATATATTATTCCTGGGTATATATTTTCAAAGCTCAAATGTTTCTCAGAAAGATGTATATTTTCTTTATGGGGTAAATATTTTGTTTAATAACCCAAAAATGTAAAGCATTTATATAAGGGGAAGGTTGCAGGAATGAAATGGTTTTTACTATAATTATTAAAAAAGTGTTCAAATGAAAACCACATGAATTTTAAATATTTATTTCTAGGCATTTTATCTACTTCTACCTGGGCCAAGTTGCAATCCTGCTGTTCAAGAGTGGATAAACTTCCATCCTACATACTGTACTTTCCAGCAAACTTGAATTATTATTCACAATTTACAGTATTCATGGGGAAATTGTTAACAATTTACCATATCAGAGGAAACTTACCAATTTATCCTATTAAAGGGGAACTTGTTAACGATTCTCCCTATTGGAGAGTAATTTTGTAACAATTTACCCTATTGGTAGGAAACTTGTTAATAATTTACCCTATTAAAGTGGAACTTGTTAACAGTTCTCACTATTGAAGGGGAACTTCTTAATAATTTACCCTATTGGAGGGAAACTTGTTAATAATTTACCACGTTGAAGGGAAATTTGTTAATAATTTACCATGTTGAAGGGAAATTTGTTAACAATTTACCCTATTGGAGGGAAACTTGTTAACAACTCGCCAGAATTGACTGAAACTTGTTAACAAGTCATTGTCTCGGACTGAAATCTACCAGAAAACCTATGAAAATTTCAATCAATCTTTAAAGACAAGATCTTCTGGTTCAATGTTTTTTTTTCTCCTTGTAGAGCTTATAGTGAAATAGCATTTATTAATCCCTACAGCTCTCCTTTTCACTGTATATATTATTCAACTCGAAAATAAATTTGTGAAATCTATATATTTTGGACAATTAATTAAAGATCAGTTTTGCGACAGAACTTGATTTTATTTTCCAGAAATTGAGCACAGAAATACATATTATGAGAAAAATATATAAACATACCATTTTTATTCCGGACTATGGAAGTTATCCAGGGTATGTAGTAGTAAGTAAAATAACCCTGCGGTTCATTAAACCGCAGGGTTATTGTAAGGATGAGACTAACGACGACCTAGAAACGCATTATTTGACGCTAAGGTCCTAAATCTGTTATAAAATTAGTCTTGAAATTGCTTATTGAACACTACGAAAGAAATAGTTTGGTTGGTAGATATTCGTGAATAGATGGTATAACTTACTTGCATTTAGTCGTCTGGAACTCTCATCCTTTGTCCTGGTAATCATTTACGAATTTTTTTTTGCTTTTTCCTAGGGGGGGGGGGCAAAATTTGAACTGCAAATTCAAAACATTTGGCTTGTTGGACAGGCATAAGTATAAGATTCTTTACAGGTCACACACATACAGTCCAATTACCTTGCACGTACTATACTTTATATCTCCTTCAAAGAAAACTAGCAAAAGTAAAATATTGTTTCTGAAAAATCAAAATCATGCAGATATGTTAGTATTAATTAGTATTTAAGCTATAGTAAGTTAAAGATATTTTTGAAAATGAAAACCCGGGCTTAAACATAAATTCTATGAGATGAAAAGAGGACATATAGGTCCAGAAAATAATTATAACTTGTAAAAGTTTCTGTTCTGAAAAAAAGTAGGTGTACGTCTTAAAGCACTTCGTTCATTTATTCGGTTACTATGGCTGGCCAAACGGCTGAATCAAATGGGCTGAATTTAAGTAAGGAAACTCATGGATTCCCTAGGGGATGACTCGGATAGCAGGCTTTTCTGTAAATTTGCGGTTGCAATTACAGTAGAAGGCAGCCTTCTTAACTCGCTTTATTAATTTTTTATTATGGATAAAAATTCCCTACGGCACCAAAATTACTTAAGCTAAGTTGATAATATCTTTCAGTTAGAAATGGAAAGAGGGAACCACATTTTCCCTCCCCCGACCATTTCAAAATTGACATGAAGAAATCCAAGGATCAAAATCTCATAGTGTTAGATTATTTTCTGAATGAGCAATTTCTCACAAGGTTAGGTTAGGCCTTATGAATGCCAAACGCTGCGGCTAGGGGCCGAGCGCTAAGGTTAGAACAGACTCAGGAAGTTGTCGCTTGATAGCACATTTGTGAAAAGAGGGAGGGAACCCACAGACGTCATGAGTCTCCGCTATTCAGATACGAGCCTCCCAGAGTTGCTAGGCAGGCCAAGACTCCGCTTTGCAGAAATGAGCATGCGCAACACATCAAAATGTGACTGTGTAATACAGAAGGTTTTTTTAAATCTTGTGTTTTAAGTTTAAATAAAAGATTATTTTTAAATTTTTCGACATAGCGGCATGAGAGGCTTCTCAAAGATGAGAAGTATTTATTAATTATCCTAAATAGTGCCTAATTATGATTAATAAAGTGGTATCTAAAATTTTAAACATTTTTTACACGAAAAGGAAAATATTCAGAAAAAAAAATGAATTTAATTTCATTTAATCTTTTATCATCTTTGATTTTAGCGATACCTTGTTTTGAAGTTCAAATTAAATAAAAATTTTGTATTTATTATTTAAATCTTAACATTTTTCAAATAAAGGTATTGTTTAAATCAAAGATTACAACAAAACAAACCAAGTTTACTCCAGAAATATTTCTCTAAATATCTACCTTTTTGCGTAAGAAATGTTTAAAGTTTTAATGTAAATCTTATAAACCTAATCATAGACAAATGCAGTATTAACTTAGATTTTTTAAGACATCATGGCATCTTTCATATGATGAACTTGAGCATCATATTTTTTTGGTGACGGTACAGAAGATATCTTGGTTGAGGGAAGCAATAGTTGTAAAAATCCATAGTAACAATAGTGTTTTTTTATAATTTACTCATTATCTAATATGTTAAATTTATAGGGGCTGTCAATAATCTTCTCATAAAAAGTGTTAAAACGATGCATTAGAAAAAAAAAATTTAACGTCACAGTTTGGTGTGTAATTCAGGTAAAACATAGCATATAGAGGCCGCGAGAAGGGCTGGACAAGTTCCGTTCTAGAATGAGAGCCTTCAGCTAGATTGTTCTGTTCTTGTTCCGTTCTAAGTAGAAGAACGATCATCTTGTTCCGTTCCGTTCTTGGCGTTCTTAGTCGAACGATTCCATCCCTCTTGTTCTGTTCTTAGTCAGGAACGTTTCCATCCCCCGTTCCGTTCTTAGTAAAGACCGATTGCATCCAAGACAAAGGTTTCATAGAAAAGAGTTGGTTAAACAGTAAAACAAATAGGATTCTATAATAAAAAGTTCCTCACAGCCATAAATATACTTTAAATTATATATCTTAAATTTAGGGTTTTACCTCCGACCCACAAATGACGTCATATGTTTATTTTACAATATTTTTTAACTGAATTGCACGACAAAAGACGATATTTTATCTAAAAAATAATCTTTTTATTTTAAGAAGATTATCGTACGCAGATGTCTAAATTAATGCTGCATTCATCTGTAATTAGCATACAGACATTTTGCTGGAAGGGAAACGGGTGTGGGTTGGAGTCTATGTGGGCAAGTGCATGTCGCAAATACCTTTTTGTGACATAATTTGTGGGTCGGAAGTAAAACGGATGTGGGTCGCCTTCCCCCCATCCGGTCCTTGGGAGCTTTCAGGAAAGTACCTAATATCAAAATCTTTGCTTAAATTATATGTTAAAAACAATTTAATAATTCTGTTTTTTGGAAAAGCAATTTTTTACAGCAAGAGAAGTAAAAATTGTTTTTAAATCGAATATCAAGTAGAAATCAGTATAGGTTGTAAATGTGATAATAATCATTTAATTCAAACAAACAATATCTTTTACACATATTTTAAAACGCACATTCTGAATAAGTTTTCTTCAGAATAAAATTGTAGTCTTTTATGTGCCATTTCGAATAATTTTCATACCACAATGTAGCCCAATTCCAAATTTAAAAAAAAATATAAGGCTAACTTCACTGTACAGTTTTTGACATCTAATGGGTGGCCTAAATCATATTAGATCGTCAATGGGTTTCAATCACGATTTTCGGGACTAATCAGAAATGTTAAGAAGAATGAATAATTTTGAAAAATTGAAGAAGGCTAATCTAAAAATTTTCCTGCATGGTTTCCCAGTATTATGTGTTTATTTTGGCGTTAAACCTTGGAGATGATCTGATATGATATGGGACGCTCTGTAGAATAATCTTCTAAACTCGCCCCCTTGGGAATCCTAGTTTAAATTCAAAAAATTTAGGTTAGAATGCAGATTTTAAAAAGAAAATCTAAAAGGTTTTCGTCATAATTTGGCGAATAACTTTGCCGATTCATTTTAACGCAAAACAACAAATTGAAAATCGAAAAAAAATTATACATTGCCATATAATAATCGTTTCAGTCTATACTAAAGAATTAAGCCGATTTTAATCTCCTTTCTGAAAAAAGGATTATTCAAATTTCAGTTTTTTTGCAAATATTTTAAGAGTACCCATTTTATCCTCATCGTTTCTTACGCTTCATGACAGATTTTAAATAAAAATAAAAATTTTCTTAGTTTTCCACTTTTTGGTTTAAGCATCGTCATTCGTCACTTAACATATCTGATCGTAAAATCTCGAAAATAAAAATCGACGTATTTGAGTATTTCAGCTTCGCACTGTTAGAATAGAAATTCCTATTAAGATGGCATTTTTAACAGTGCATGCACTAAGCAAGAACGCATTGGATATTTTGATGGAACTATAAGAGGCGATAAGATAAATGAAGTTGTGTAAGTGTTCATATAATGGCTAAACAAATGGGGGGAATTTGAGCATTTTGAAATTCTTTTAAAAAGCTAAAACTGCAAAACAGAAAGAAATTAATGGAAAAATATTTTTTTGGAGATTTTATAAATGAAGTTGAAGTTTATTTCGAGACTTAAAGATAAGGTATTTCTACATTCATATTTAAAAAATTGTATTATGAATTATGATACTTGGAAGGAAAAACTCCGCGGTTGAACGAATTGAACGAACAATTACGATCTAGTCAAGACTGTAAAACATAGTTTGGAGAATAAGAAATGCGACTTTATAAATAAATAAATTTTTAAAAACTGGGTTTCACTTATTAAAAATACGTGTTTTGCCACAAAAATGTGCGTTTACAGTGGCTAAAGACAATTTTAAATATTTTTAATTGTGTAATTTTTTTAAGTTGACGGTAAACAATGTCAAATAAAAACCAGCATTTCCTGATATTAAAGGGAAAATCGTTTTACAACAAATTGTTATCCCAAAGATTAAAGCACAAAAATAAGATAATTTTTGATTTCTTAATCCGAACTGTAAAAAGTTATGTATCAACAGTCAACCGCTACCGCTATTTTTTATCCAAATAATATTATTGTTTTATGAAGGAAAAACTTATGTCTATAGGCCGGAAACATAAAAAGCCAGATTAACCAGAATCTGCTTTATTCATTAAAGGCATTGGTCATTTGTGATTCAATAATTAGGCAACCAATGAAGTGTTCTCTGCTCTAACATGCTCTACGTGTTTTCTTATGTTTATTCGATTTTTTACGATGCCCTTTTTTCGTTTTGGTTGTTTTATTTCTTTGTTTTGTTTTTTGTTTCTTATTCGTTTTTCTTTTAATCTTTTTATATTTTTTCTTCTTTTTCCCCTTTCTCTTCTTTTTTCCCTTTTTCTTCTTTTTCCCCTTTCTCTTCTTTTTCCCCTTTCTCTTCTTTTGATCCCTTTTCTTATTCTTCTTCCACAATTTTTTCATGGCAGACTTAAAGAGTACAACTCCATTGATAGCAGGTCTTTTCTTTTTGAATATTTCTTTCGGACATATTCTAAAAGAAAACTTTTAATCCTAAATAGATTTTTTCAAATCATGAATT